CGTGTAGTGCATGCACAGCTCTAACACAGTCAGACCTCTGGAGCCTTACAGCTAAAGAGATGGGCCAGGTAATGTAGCATTTGGTAATTCATGTGATCTGATAAGTATTTTCTTTTCCATAAGTAACATTATTCTTCTTTTCCCTACTCACCAAAGACAGGGATGAAGAAGATCATACCTCTTAACTTTTAAGAGTTCAGCTCAGTAAAGAAGAGAGAAGAGGATAGATGAAGCCAGAGAGAAAATAGGTAGAGGGCCAGGTCACGGGTTTTGGGGGAGGGAAGAGAGTTTGGAGTTATGGCCTGAGGGGAAGTGAAAAGACGACTTATTGCAGAAGTGGCTACTTTTTCTTTTAATTTAATTCCATGAATTGTAGATAAATCGTAGTGCTTTAATTACATAATGACCTCTAAAATGAAGGTGAACAGGAATGCTGAATCCGTAGAATGCATTTCTAGCTGTCAGCCAAATTTTCTGCTTGAAACCCCTTATCAGCTCAGAGAGGGAAAATGAAGCCTGCCATATAGAACTCTTTCTTAAACTTTTGAAATCCTTATTGGGTATAAGAAGGCAGAAGAGAGAATTCGTTTCATGCCTTTATCAGAGCGCTGCAGTCTCTGCTGCCATAGCAGATTTTGGACCACCTCGTGTATGTTATGCCAGTACAATGGTTGCAGGAAAGGGTCAGGCTGCATGTGTGTGCAGACTTGCTCATCTTCTTCCTCCCCTGTGGTGCCTATCTGGGTGGCATAGCAAGAAGTGTGTGGGTAGCAGGGCAGCTTGCCGGTAAAGGCAACATCTTGACTGCAAACATGGGGCAAGCGAGATTTAGAGTCTGGTAATAAAGCAACAAAATGACTTGGTTTGAAAAGGTGCAGGTATGCATGCTTCCATCGCCTGCTGTAACTGGAACCAGAGTAGTGGAATAGGGAGGCAGTTGGTGTCTTGAAAAACAGGAGTTCTCAATGAGTGTTGGAGACTCTAATGTAATCATCCTAATGGTTTGCTTCCTGCTTTGCTGTAGTAACGCCACTGTGTATGCCTGTGTGCTTTTATTAACGAAAAGGTTTTTTCCCTCCTTGAAAGACAGAAAAGCTGAGGGGGAGCTGCTAAATTCTGAAAGCTATATTTAGCTCGGAGCAATTAAAGCTAGCACTGCATAATAACACTTGAGACTAGCTCATCCATCATGCAAACCGTAAGATTTTAATGTTTGGTTTCAGTCAGACTTGACATTACTGTTAGCTTTTGCTTACATTCATTAAACTCTGCTTTTTAGAAGGTGTGTCTGTTGCACGTTGTTTTGGACAAGTTACCTGCTTTCTTACTAGTCCATGCTACTTTGTTCCTAGTTCCATTTTCAGTCTAAACCACCATAATCCTATGTTGCTTTCAAAAGGGATAGTTCTATTCTACCCTACCCTTCTATTGGCAGCTGCCTGGTTTGTTCTTTTCATCATCTTTATTCTTGCAGCATGTTCATGCAGTGAAATGACTCTGAAAACATTATTGCTAAAAATCTGGCTTTTTTCCTCTTTAGTTACTAATTCGATTAATTTTCCACTCTCATTTCACTATGTAGTCATGTTGCTACTGGTTTTAGTAGAAGTTGCTGTGGAAATAAATTGCTGACTTTGAGAAGGGAGAGAATTGGGTGGTTCCTCCCCAAGGGGCCAGCTGTGTTTGATGCAGACTTAAACCAAATTGCACTCTATTGCGAGATTAGGTCTTTGTTACACTCCTGGTAGGCTCTTCCAGGAATTTGTAGCTTCTTTAGGACTAATACAGTACAAACCAACCTAATTAATTGCTACAAAGTTATTAAAAGGTCAGTTACTGCATGTTCATTCTTTTTTTTTCCTTGGGTACCAAATAATTAATTTTCTCAGTTCTGGATTAGATGACATCTCTCTATGATGCTCACATGAGCTGTAGTCACCCACTGTGAGATATGTTTACTGTTCAATTTATCCTTCTATTCCAGTGCATCAGGCTCTAGAATTCTTCTAATGTCTACTGTTTGTGAGTATGTCTGTACAAGTGCAGATTATTTTTCATTACACAGACACAAAAAAAAGTTATAAATCAATCAACAGTGCAGTTAAGCTGATCTCGATTTCCCAAATGATTTTAGAAAATATGTACCTGTATTGCAAAATATTCAGAAACAATATCACATGACTGCTTCTCAATGCTCACTGTCAGAATAGACCACTGCAGTACAATGTTTTGGGGAGAAACTGGGAACATGGGACCTTTTTTGGACCAGCAGATTGTGGAGAAAATTTCATTCTAGAAGAAGGAAAACTTGCTGTCTGTGCAAAAATGTGGAAAGATTGTGAAACAACGAAGTCATCCGTTGTCTTTGTGGAGTGACTGAGTGATTGATACATCAACAGATATCTGAGACTTCTCAGATACCATTAGAAACATTTTTCAGACTTAAGGCTCCTGCATTTGGCTTGTCCTGAGTGGCATGCAGTTTGTGAATTCTGCTGTTGTGAAGACAATATTGAAGTCTTACAGAGGGTGCTGTATAATAAAGTGGAAAATTCTAGATCTTGTTTTGGGTGACTCATAGCTAAATAAAGGCTTTGAGATTGAAATGGTGGAAATGGCAAGTCTCCTGTCCTGTCCCTTGACCCATGGAGTTGTTGCATAAGGTCTGACCTCGTGGGCTGTGCTGAAAAGCTCTGTTATTTTTCTTGGGTTTTGGGGGATATTTTTTCATTAGGCTATCACTTGTTTTGGAAGTTAGCACAGAACTGCTGATGGCCTCATGTGCCCAGTGGGGGTTGCTTAGGTCGTGTTTCCTTACATCTATCATTTTCCTTTAGGGTCCTTTTAAGGTCCCTGTTACTTCAGTATATGTAATAATGGCCAGTCTTCGTGAGCGAAGATTTGGGAAAGGTCATTAACCCTTCGAGCCTGCGCAGTGGATTTTTTAGGTGAGACACAGCGTGCGCTGAACTGAGCCCACCCTTTAATCCTGAGGTTCATCTGCCAGGGCCGAGCAAACTTGGACAGTGGCAGTGAGGGTCTCAGGACGTAGGTTTGTTTAGAGTGACCTTCTCTTAGATGGATTACCTCACAGGGCTAATGAGCTCCATCTGCCCGGGGGGCCGGGAATCGAACCCGGGTCGCAGCGGTGAGAGTCCTGCACCCTAACCACTAGTAATATACTCCTAATAACTAAGATAATTATTTGTAATATATATATAAAATTATTTTTCCTGTTTCTCTTACATTGTTGATGCAAATAGCACAGAGAATTAAAGGTGCTAATCTTCAGGTCTAGTAATTTTGTTTGTTTTTTTTTTCACAAAGGCTTTTTATAAGGTTAATCTGTTGCCTTAACCATGAGATATTTTTAATATATGATTTGTTGGAAGTTTCAAATGTAGAACAGCTTAATTTTTGAGTTACTGGGAAAAATGCCAGCCACAGATTTGGAAGAGCCTGAGTAATAAAATCATAAAGCTGGTTCATCACTCAAATATGTTATTATTTCAGCTGCCTCTGCCCACTGCATGCTCCTACAGGCTAAAATGTCAATAGGCTCTTATATTAATAGCTATTTTAGGACTCTAATATTAAAAGGTTGTAAAAATGAAAGAACCTTAGATTAAACTAAAATATCAAAATTAACACATTGATTGTTCTTTCTTACTCTAGTTTAAAAAATGTTCGCCCTTAATATTTGGACTACTTAAAAATGCACAAGTTCGTGTGTTAAATAATCCTAAAGTTAAATCACAAATTTAGACTCCAAACCAGCTGGGGATGGTGGCATTTTAGGAACTTAACAAATAGAAGAACCAAGAAATTGAGTGTAAATGTGAAATTAGAAAATATTAAATGTAGACAACCAATAGGAGAAGGCAAAAGCATTGCTTAAAACTTCGAGTTGAAAACAGGAAATCCTTTTCCCTTGGAAAATATGCTAACACTGTAAGAATAATATTAAATAAGGGTAGTAATGTCAATTCAAGAAAGGCAGAAGCATTTATTTTCATTCCTGAAATAAAGCTGTAGTCTATGGCAGCATGTGGAAATAATAGCTAAGGAAAAAAAGTTAAATTGTAGCAGTAATCTAGATTCAAAACTGTTATCACAAATAACTTGAGGAATTCTGTTTCTCCTATTGATTTTGAAGAAAGATGAGGAAAGCAGCAGAGGAAGTTTAATGATATGCTAGGTTTTATAAATTGTATATGGTACCCAGACACTGGTTTGTCCGGTGTTGATTGCTTGTAGGCTTTTGGAAAGATTATCATCATTTTGATATGGGAACTGACTCAGTATAATAGAAACTCAAATCTAATAATTGGAAAGGTTACCCATACATTCTGTGAGTATAAAGGCAGCCTAAACCATTGTTCCTTATTAGCTCAAACTGAACACATTAAAGTGTGTCATAAGCAGTGTCTGTTTGGTGGTGTTCACGTTGTACAGAGAAGTCCTGCAGGCTGCTAAAACTGTAAAATTGGATTTTCTTCAGAAAAAGTGCATTTGACTAATGGTCAAAACTGTGCGTTAGTTACTTCAAAGCAACAAGTTTGTCAAAAAGTAGTACCCCTGGTATCTATTTCTATGCAGGATTCTTCTTTCTTGTTTTGCGCTGACAAGATGTTTGGGTGAGTTCCCCACAGCCTCAGTAGAGTTACACATGTGTGCAGAGTTCTGGATCCTTGGGGCAAGAAAGATTTCTGTTATGAAATGCATTGTTCTGTTAGTGTGTTATTAGACTAAAACTCAGGTTTCTTACTTGTATGGGAGAATGTGGCTAACTCAGACTTCTAATACATATCTTTCAGAAAGCTGTAGATGTTGTTGTTGTATTTTAGGGAAATATTTTGGGATGGTGGAACGCATAAAAAACTAGGTAGAAAATTTTTCAGATATTCATATATTGTACTTATCTCCCTCATGCTTCCAAGGTATGAAAAGACAATGCAGCAGGAAGTGTATTTCTCATCTGATTTTTGCTTGTTTTTCAGATCCAACACAAGACTCATGTGAGCTTGCCACATCTTGCCTAATGGAATTGCTCATACTTTCACTTCTGTAAAAGAAGATACTTAGATTTTTTTTCGTGGTTGGCACTGAGCCTACCTACTCACTGTAAGTCAGTCTTTCTTGTCTCATGGATATGTTGCCCTTCCTATAGGAAAGTAGAGGTTAAATTGGTGTGGAGCCTGTTTTAGCCTAGAGGGAACATCATCAAAGAAGCTGTGTAAGAAGCTTCTTGCTATGGAGAATTGTGCAGTCAGTGGAGAATGGGAGAGGACTGTAGTATAGCTGGCAAAGAGGCAGCTCCTCAGTCCTCTTTTGGGATAATACATTGTACTTAATTTTATATCTAAAAGAATTGAAGGATTTATCAAAGAAATGGAACATGTAAAGCGGAAGTGGTGCTAATGTAACCTTTTATTCTGCTGAGATAAGAATAAATGTTCAAAAATACCTCAAAGGTGTGTTACATTTGTGGGAACTGGGAAAAAAATTACCATTTGTAGGATTGTATGATGTTTGGGTTCCCTTTAGCCTTAGGCTTTGGGGTTTCCACTGATCACCCACTAGGTCAGAAGGAGGACTCTCACCCATAGCACAGTTGGACTCTGTGGTTTGTATCTCATTCTGAAATGCTCTTTATAGTCTGCAGCCAAAGACAGGACTTTGGCAAGGTTAAGATTATGTTATCGGTGACATTGAAAAACTTCTTGTGTTGCTGGTGAGGTTTTTGCCTGAGTGTTCATTAGTTGTGAGATTTATCATTAGGAGGAAATTCTGTCCCAAATCACATTTCCAGTCATGGCTCTTGTGCATTTTATCTTCTCTAATAGTATGTAAATATAGTCACAGTGCATTCTGAATACTTAACAATTTCTCTTTTGGTGTAGGGACATTGATAATGCGTTTGAACTTCCTGACCAGCTGCTTGTGCTGCATTTTAACTTTATGTATGTGTATGTGTGTGTGTATATATATATATATATGTGTGTGTGTGTGTGTGTGTGTGTGTTTTCTTGGCCTTTTAAACGTGTAGGCATTAGATTAGTATTTTAGGGCACATAGGACAGGTAGGATGTTGTAGGCCTTACATGCATATAATTTACGCATTTGCTTGCAGTTGTGGAAGGCTGGATATTCTGAACTGTGCAGTTCTTACAGTCCTATATATAAACTAATGTTTTGAAATCTGTCTTAACAGGCTTACATGGATCTTACACTTGTAAACCAGAATATAGTATTGCTGTTCTGCACTAATTTCCTATTATACTTGCATCTGTGTTTGTGTAGGCTTAATCACTACTTTAAGCTTGGTGAATTTTTAGGCTAGATCTTTCAGTTTTGCTTGTGAGCATGTAAAAGGTATCTCTAAATGTATGTTGCTCAGTAGGAACTTGCTTTCCTCTGGAAAGCTGGAGATGAGTCATGGAAACTGAAGTAGGTAGCAGGCACGAGGGTTGAATCTTTGCTAGAAGTATGTGGCTACTGGAAAGCACATTAACAGCCGTGTATGTTTTCAGCTTCTATAAATTAGAAACTGAAAAGGTGTCAGAGGAGAGAAAGGAGTGGAAAATACTTCTGCATGGTTTATTTTTTTTGGTAGGTACTGCCATACTGCTCCAGTGGGAGGTGCCCAATTGCTATAGCATCCTTTTACCTGTGAAGATAGAGGTGTTTATCAGTACTATTACAAAATAGTTAGCTGATAATGTTGGGAAGCTTTATGTTTAAGTAGCAAACCAATGTTGCATGATTGCCTAATGACTTTCAAAAGGTTTCAGTAAGTGGCAGAAATGAATGTAGACCTGCCCCACCCCAGTGTGCAACACATGGCAATTTTATTTACTGAGGGGGTTCCTGTTGAACAGATATGTTTGTGACTTCGTGTGAAGTCATGCAGGAAACCTGTGAAAAACTCTGGGCAAGACCTTGTTTTGCTTATCCTAATCTTTTCAGTGCAAGAGTGTGCTCCATTGAAAGACAACTTTGATAGTTGCTGAAAGGAAGGGTGGTAGATTTACAGGGATACAAAACAAACAAGAGTTTGAACAGTTACAAAAAGGGAATTCTTCATGGTTCCTCTAATATCTGTAGCAGAAGGCTGCAATGAGAACTAGGATTTATCTTAACGATAATATTTTCATTCTGACATAGTACAATATTGTTGGCATGTGCTCTTGGAATGCATTAATACTTTGTAAAACCTTTTTATTTTAAGATATATTAATTGTATAGCTCTGTATTTTTGAAAATGGAAAGAAACAGTACCTGGTGCTCAAAGTGAATTCACTTTGAAGTGAAGTTATCTTAAATTCATTTTCATAAACTTGAAAACTAAATCTATAGCTGTTATAGAAGCAGCTGCCATGTGTTACTGAGCCTTCAGAGGAATTCTTTACTGCTCTTTTGAACATAGGAAAATATAGTGAAGGAAGTGATCCTTATTTCTTAATCCTCATAAATTGCATTAAAGAAATTTCATGGAACCCCTGTGTATTACTTCGCTGGTATTTTCTCTTAGTTTTGCCAACCTAAAATTCCAAGCTGAATTCTTCAATACAAATATTATGTAAGTTGGTGGCTTTTTTTTTGTTTTATCTCACTTGTGAAAAGTATTTAATTTTACTTTGTAACCTGAAAAGATTATGTTAAGAATATTGGCAGCTTGACATTGTCTGCTGGCTCTTTACTAATAGTCTTACAGGAAAAAGAATTAGAAATAGAACTAAATTCTTTGTTAAAATGTCATTCAGTACTTCCTTCGAAGAAAAAGGAGGTGAAGTCTTAGTGTTCTTATGGTGGTAAATGCAAAAATAACCCATGTACACAACTCTAGCTCTTCTTTGTGTACAGCTCATGACTATGAATTTAAGCCACTTTTCTTAGATCAATTCCAAAGTGTTTCTTTTGGAATTAGCTATGAATAGATGGACTAACTTGTTCAATGGTTAGTAGCACAGATAGATGTCCTGCAAAAAAAAAAAAAATGGAGAAGGGAAGAAAAACAGTGTTTGTTAACTTACTGTTTTACTAGTTGCTATTGAAACAAGTTATTTTTGTGTTATTGTTTAAGAACAAAATAAGCTATACATCTGAGTATCATGGATAGCATCGGAAGGGAAGGGTGAAGAAGGATAAACTACCTCATGGAAGAATGATTTGTATTTTTTTTAGTTTTAGTCATAGATACTTTGTTCTAAAACAGATAATACCTGCTTAGGCAGAGGAGCTGTTTGAAACAAGTGGACTGCTGTTAAAGCAGGACTTTATTTTGTAATCATGTTAAATTATGATTACAGAATAAAGTAATTTTTAGGATTTGTTTCCGTAGAAAATAAATGTTTGTGAAATTATGAAAAGGTGGATCAAATATACAGGCACATTTTCATTCATACAGTGCTATAAATCAGTCATAGTTTAAATGTATCTTTTTAGGGCAAGTTGTTGCTTGTAAATGCCAAATGTGTCAGGCTGATGTTTGACTTGAAGTGGTGTGACAAGGCTGTGAACTCCTCTGCCCAGTGGTGTTCCCCCTGTGGCTATTCAAGGCCACAGACTGTTCTACCTGCATTAGGGACACAGTGGGTCTCAGGCATGGAAATGCAGGTCTTTATAGTAGTTACTGCTTCCTACTCTGGGAGAGACTATGAACTTAAGTGCTTGAAATAGGTAATTAGCATAGCCAAAAGTAACTTAGATCATGAGCCTTGCCTCCTGTTATTCAAACTTGTTATTCCTTATGCTTATATGCAGAGAAAAGTAGCAACTGCTGTGTGTCAGGTTGTTCCAGAGACAGTCAGGTGGGTCACCCTTCACTTCAGTGATGGGAACAAGTTGCCTTCTTACTGACATTACAGTGAGGATTTTACAAAGTGAGATTCTGCATTTCACTCACAGAAAGTGATGCAGATAGTTCAGATTCTTACCACTGAAAATGTTTTCATCGCACCCTCACTGAGCGGAAGCACACACTTTTCATCTGGAGATCATGAGCTCGGTCTGTTGATGTACCTAATTTTTGTGCTTGGAGAAGCCATAAAAACTTGCTCCTTGTTTTAAGAGTAGCTCTAAGAGACCATCTCTGTCTTTCAATATATGTTGGAAAATGTGCTTCTATCAGCCTTATCTTTCTTAGAAAAGACAGGATATCTGTTCCTGTCTTTGCCTATGTAAATTCTGGTAAATCCTTAATTTGACCACCAGGTGAAGAATAAAAATAATGCTTCAGATACATCAGAAGGCAGAAGATTTGTCACGTTTCAAGGTAGGCCTTAGAAGTTCATTCATGAAGAGAAACAGTTGTATAGCTTCAGGGCCCCTCACTTTCCAGTTGTGCAACAGCAAAGGTTTGTGTGCAAGCTAATTGCAGGAGAGCTGAAGAGATGGTTGCAGTTGTTGGTGAACTCCTCTGATATGGTAATGAGGATATGTGGCTGAATCTCCAATCCTAGCATGTGTAATAGTGAATGTGGTGTGTTTTTGGTCTCTAGTGACTCCTTTGCTCATTCACTGACTACTAGTATAAATGCTTTACACTCCCATTTCCTTTTGGAAAAGGTCATATGCTTGTTTTAATTCATAAGGCAGGTTCTTGTAGCACTAGGTATTTGAAGAAGAAATGAAAATTACATTGTTATTTTAGGCTGGAAGAAACCTCCAACTAAGCAGAAAATATTGTGATTATTAAAGTAGTTACTTCTCAAGGAGAAATAAAGATTACTTTTTAAAGACTGAGTAAAATGTTAACAGTATAATTTATTTTGAGCCATCTGTGTAAAGTTCACAATCAGTGGGCTTCTGTATTAATGCGTTTTAATCTTGTTTTATCCTCATGTTCTTGTCCAAGCATGTAATCCATTGTAGATTTCTTTTGGTTGCACTTCTTATCAAGGCGTATATGAGGGATGAAAAACGGTCAAACCTAACCAAGGACAACTATCCGTAGTGATTAACAAACAGAAATGTGTTTATGAAAATGTAACATTTGCAGTATTTATTTAATGACTTGTTTACACTTGCTGACTTTATTCATGTCTTACACACAAAACAAAGTATCTGTTGTGGACACACATGCCTTTTAGTTACAAAACCATAGCAAGAACTTTTCAGAA